AGGTAAGGTTGGGTCCTCCCCCTCCTGGACCTCCCCCTCCCCTGTGATGGGACAGCAGAGGAGCCAAGGTCTACCCGAGGCCCCTGAACCCAGGCCAGGCACTGCTGCATGTTCCTGCCTTCTTCCCAGCAGCACACGTCAGGACCCGACCCCCAAGTTCATATGTTCTTTACAAAAGTCCCCAAAACAGCTTTGTGCTGGTGGCAGGAGGACAGTCTGCACTTAGTGAGGACCGCCGGTTTGCTGATATATTAAAAAGTCAGTTGTAGTAGAGCCTTTTTAGCCAATCAGAGACGAGAAAGGTGGGCTCTTCCTTGGACATCCTAGAATCCAAATGACGCCAGACGCATCATTTGGATTCTAATTGGCTGGAAGGGCTCTCCTATGACTGGCTATTTCATGTAACAGCAAACCGTCTTCCCTTGCTGCAGGGGTTTTATGTCTGCAGCCAAATCTTGAGGAGTTTTTTGAAGAAAAAGTGAACTTAGCGTTATCATACCCATTGTGTCCTGTTTTGCAACATTCCACTTTCAGCTTCTTTCATAAAAGAACCTGAAAAACGTTAAATGTGGACATTTATCTGCACTGACGTCATATATGTTGGCTTGTAAGCATTGGGGTTATGTCTTTACTTTAATAAGTTATGGATGTTTGCATGTCAGAGCACATCTCTCATCACCTGTTTAAATGTGTTTGATTTGATCGAAATTGAATTCAAACCTTTATTAATTACACCTGTTGGAACTTGTCATCAGTATAAAAGACACAGCTGAGTAAAAAAAGGCAGTTTTATTGTATTTCATACACAGATAGGCACACATATGTATGTACTCTGCTTTCATAAGATAACCCCCAATTCTTGTGAGCCAACAGATGTAAAGTAAGTCCAACAGTGTGATAAATGCAACAAGATTTAATTTAAGCACACGTTTTACACATTTCATGTTTTAAATAAACAGAAAAAAAGATTTTACAAAACAAGACAAAAATGACATTATATCACTACGTTTGCATTATATTTACAAAACTCCCCAGAGCAGCTGTTCTGTTGGCGAGGGAAGACAGTTTGCTGCTAAATGAAACAGCCCATCCCAGTAGAGCCCGCCTAGCCAACCAGAGGCGAGAAGGACAAAATCTTCTTTGGATATCCTACAATTGCAAATGACATGAGTTGGAGAGAAGAAAACATGGCGTCTAATATGGCGACCCCCAAAGACGTGGGGCAGGAGACCCACATTTTATGGTTATACTTTAGGAAGCCGTCAATGTTTCTTAATAACTGGACATAATTTTATTAATTTTCAACATTTTGATGGTATTGATGGGGTAAGACTGTTTGCAGTGAAAATACATATATTGTCTTTAATCTTTGCATCATACAGGAATATTGTAATAGGCTGTTTATATACAGGTGCTGGCCAGTAAATTAGAATATCATCAAAAGGTTGAAAATATTTCAGTAATTCCATTCAAAACGTGAAACTTGTACATTATATTCATGCAATGCACACAGACCAATGTATTTCCGATGTTTATTACGTTTAATTTTGATATTTATAGGTGACAACCAATGAAAACATCAAATCTGGTATCTCAGAAAATTAGAATATTCTAAAGGCCAATGAAAAAATGTTTGTTTCTCTAATGTTGGCCAACTGAAAAGAATGAACATGAAAAGAATGTGCATGTATAGCACTCAATACTTAGTCGGGGCTCCTTTTGCCTCAATAACTGCAGTAATGCGGCGTGGCATGGACTCGATCAGTCTGTGGCACTGCTCAGGTGTTATGAGAGCCCAGGTTGCTCTGATAGTCGTCTTCAGCTCCTCTGCATTGTTGGGTCTAGCGTATTGCATCCTCCGCTTCACAATACCCCATAGATTTTCTATGGGGTTAAGGTCAGGCGAGTTTGCTGGCCAATCAAGGACAGGGATACCATGGTCCTTGAACCAGGTGCTGGTGGTTTTGGCACTGTGTGCAGGTGCCAAGTCCTGTTGAAAGGTGAAGTCTGCATCCCCATAAAGTTGGTCAGCAGCAGGAAGCATGAAGTGCTCTAAAACTTCCTGGTAGACGGCTGCATTGACCCTGGACCTCAGGAAACAGAGTGGGCCAACACCGGCAGATGACATGGCACCCCACACCATCACTGACGGTGGAAACTTTACACTGGACCTCATGCAACGTGGATTCTGTGCTTCTCCGCTCTTCCTCCAGACTCTGGGTCCTTGATTTCCAAAGGAAATGCAGAACTTGCTTTCATCAGAAAACATAACTTTGGACCACTCAGCATCAGTCCAGTCCTTTTTGTCCTTGGCCCAGGCGAGACGCTTCTTGCGCTGTTTCTTGTTCAAGAGTGGCTTGACACACGGAATGCGACACCTGAATCCCATGTCTTTCATGAGTCTCCTCGTGGTGGTTCTTGAAGCGCTGACTCCAGCTGCAGTCCACTCTTTGTGGATCTCCCCCACATTTTTGAATGGGTTTGTCGTCACAATTCTCTGCAGGGTGCGGTTATCCCTAGAGCTTGTACACTTTTTTCTACCACATTTTTTCCGTCCCTTCGCCTGTCTGTTAATGTGCTTGGACACAGAGCTCTGCGAACAGCCAGCTTCTTTAGCAATCACCTTTTGTGTCTTGCCCTCCTTGTGCAAGGTGTCAATGATTGTCTTTTGGACAGCTGTTAAGTCAGAAGTCTTCCCCATGATTGTGGTGCCTTCAAAACAAGACTGAGGGACCTTTTAAAGGCCTTTGCAGGTGTTTTGAGTAAATCAGCTGATTAGAGTGGCAGCAGGTGTCTTCTATATTCAGCCTTTTCAGAATATTCTAATTTTTTGAGATACCAAATTTGGAGTTTTCATTAGTTGTCACTTATGAATATCAAATTTAAATGTAATGAACATTGGAAATACATTGGTCTGTGTGCATTGCATGAATATAATGTACAAGTTTCACGTTTTGAATGGAATTACTGAAATATTTTCAACCTTTTGATGATATTCTAATTTACTGGCCAGCACCTGTATTATAATCAGCTGTTTCTAACACTCTTCTACGGAGGATCCTGGTGTTTTCCATTATTTTGAAGTCATCTTGACTAGACGTTCTACAGACTTTCCAGAGTTTTTCTGTGACCTTTTGCCTTTTATTGCTGCAACAGCAGACTTGAGTTGGACACCAATATTGGCAACCCTACATTGGCTGCCCGTCTCCTTTAGGATGCATTTTTAAGTTCTTTTATTGGTTTTTAAACCGTGGAATGGTTTGTCTCCAGCGTACCTGGCAGCGTGCCTCTCGGGCACCTCGCTCTGAAGACCTGTCGTTGCTCTCGGTCACCATGACACAGCTGGAGACGAGGGGAGACAGAGCTTTTTCAGTGGCAGCTCCAAAGCTCTGGAACAAGCTGCCATTACACACTCGGTAGTCCTCCTCTGTAGCAGTTTTAAATTGAAGCTGAAGACCCATTTTTATGACATTCTGTGGGGTGACTGATAGTGTTGCTTATTTTATTATCATCTCTTGTGTTGTTTTCTTGATTTATATTACATTTTGAGTGATGTTTTTACTCGTGTCTGTGAAGCACGTTGCTGACATGTTTATCTGTAAACTGCTATACAACTAAAGTTTGAGTCGAGATTCCTACAACAAATACAAAACTGTGTCAGAATGTTGGGATATTTAAACTAACATCTCATGGTGGGAAATGGTATTTATAAGTGTTATTAGGTTTGCAATGATTGTTTACCAAAATCTTTGAATTAGGTAGCGTCCAAACAAAAATACTCAGGCACCTGAGTGAAATGGGCATAAAACCTCTTTTGGTCTTTTAGCTGGACTCAATAACAACGTCTTATTGCTTGTGACAAGTTTTAACATTGGAAAAAGACAAATGTAGGATATCTAAGCAGCAGGTGGTTGGACAAAGTCAGAGCTAATGTACAAATGAAAACAAAGTATGCCAGAAAAACTGAAGAAATCAGATCTGAACAGCAGATGTTGTAATCAGAGACCAGGGCCGTGTGTGTGTGATTAGGCAGAATGGAGAACTAAGTTGAATGAATCCAGAACTCTAAAGAACACCAGAGAACCAAATCCCAGGATCCATGTTGACAAAGTGTTGACTTGTCGCATCCTTTAGAGTTTGGTGATATTTTCATTTTTAATAATTCATATCGGTGCTAAATGTCTTCTTGGAATGAAAGTCTGATTAACATGTGAGCTCAGCCCATAGAAAAGGGGAAGCTCAGTGGAAAAGCTCCAGAAAAACACTTTAGGGGAGAATTATAACATATTTAAAAATAGAGTCCAATCGCCTCGTGGGCCTGCCACATCCAGAAGGGCAGCATCTAAACCAACTTACTGAGCAAAGGAAAATGTAGAAAAATCACAGAAGCTGGAGAACGGCAGCATGCAGAGAATAAAAGTTAGGCTGTTTGGCAGCAAAAGCAAAGCAAAATGTAAAGATGACTCAAGACTTTTTCACAGTACAGCTCAGTATCACTGAAATGTGAACACCACACACACACACACACACACACACACACACACACACACACACACACACACACACACACACACACACACACACACACACACACACACACACACACACACACACACACACACGTGTTTCTGCAGCTGCTTCAAACTCATCAACCTGACAGCCACTCTTCCACTGAAGTCTCCGAGTCTGGACCCAGCGAACCCTTCTCCCTGGCTGACTGACCAACGGTGTCTGGAACAGGACGAGTCTCAACAGAGTTTTATAGATGCTGATTAAAACTTCCCAGATATTTAACCTGTTGGATCCATAAATCAGATTTATGTGCAGAGAGCTGTGTTACTTCACTACTGGTCTCAGGTTCTCCTCCCCTAAATGTATTTGACTAACAGTGACGCAGCAGCAACAGATCCGAGTAATGCCCAACTTCCTTATTCCCGATGTTGCATTGTTGAGAAAGCTATAAATGAATCCCTCAGTGCAGGTAATAACGGTCAGCAAAATCAGAGTTACCAAAGGAAAATTTATTGAAAAACCAAATGTACACACGTGTGATGCAAATTCTCTTGAACGTAATCATCCAGATGTTTCGGTTGGTGTCAGCGAAGGAAATTCTGAGAAAAATCTTTAACACACTCTGTTTTTCTTTGTTCTTGTTCTGTCAGAGTCCGGCTTTGGCTTCATGTTGTGTCTCTTCTTCCAGCCGGGTCAACTGGATCTCTAACAGATCAGAACGTTTGTGCTTCATCAAACTCCAATAAATAAATAAAGTGCTTGACAAACAGCTTGATGTCAGTCAGTTACACACTGCAGTGTTTGTTGTATGACGTAAACCTAATCTATGATCAACAGTTTATTGTCTTTCTAAAAGAGAAACTTCTAAAGGTTTTAAACTGAAAACAAATGAAAGAATTCAGTTATTTACAGAAACATGAGCGCATCATGAGGCATTCTGGGTAACAATCTAAGATGATGATGTAAACTGAGGCTGTGTTCACTGAAAAAGTCGTATTCTGACTGGTTCAAAATGGTTTTTATTTATTCGGATTCTCTAAAAGCAGCTCAGCTGTTTTCTTAAACAACTTCATCTCCTGCAGGGTCACGATGGCGAGGCAGCACCACCGAGCAGGGAAACCTTTATTATTTTATAATTATTGTAAAGGTGTTGTGCAATTACTAAAACTGACTCATAAAATACCTTCTAATACCTCTTTTATCATTTACATTTTTCATCCATTTGAACACAGAAGTTGGATTTTCTGAGTTCCAAAATAAGAAAATAAAATAAACTGTGCCTCAATGTCAGAATTTAGACATTTAAATGTTGTTTAGATGGAAACCTTTTAGCACAACTGGAAAAGGGTCATTTGAAGAGCAAATCTTTTTGCAAAAAAAGCAACTTGCTTATCTGAGATCTTTGTGCACGTATAAAAAAATAAAAGGATAGTTTAGATTTTTATGTAGTGTTTTTGCATTATCAATAATCAGTGCCCTGCCTACACAAAACCTCATTGAAAATTGTGCTGACACTAATTTGCATCAACTGCTAATGAAATTCAGAGAGGAACAATGTTGCATAATAATTAGGAGTTCAAGTTATTCGTTTGCTTTGATGCCAGCCTCACACGAGCTCACCGTTAACTCAGCTTCTCCAAGACACCTTGATTCCTGATTTAAAAAGAACACTCCAGAGGACATGATTTTAAAAATCTATTTTCTAGAACCATTTCTTTAAAATCGGGTTTCTCCTGCTCTGAAGTTCCACCACCCTGCCAGTGGAGGCACCGCAACAACTTCCTGTGTGATCGTGAATTACTAGAGTCCTCCGTTCATCAGGCAGCTCTGCTGATAAGCACTGAATCCACCTGAACCCTAAAACAGCCTCTCATGTGAATCATGCAGCTCTGAGTATGAGTGTGTGTGTGTGTGTTTCGCTACAAGTGTGTGGTTATTGGCCATTTAGGACCACTGGCAGGAGCAGTCGGTGGGCTCCTGGATTGTGTAGCTGACCCACGTGGCGTTACTGCTGCAGTAGAGCTGTACAGCACGCCGCTGTAGACCAGTTTCCCTGCAGCACTTGCAGAATCGAGCGTACGTGTTGATGTTGTAGTTGTAAATGCTGGCAGATGGACACTTCCCATCACATGACACAATGTTCACCTAGAGGACATCGCAAAGATGTTAGCATGCTTTAACCACTACAACAGAAGCTAAACAGAATTGAGAAGCTTCAACTGATTTAACAACCATCTGCATCTACCTTTGTCTGTCAGATGATAGACTAAACAACAAAATGTTTTTAATGAACATGATCATGGTGTTCTGCAGCATTCAGAAAACATTTTCCTGTAGCGGGTTTTATTACTGAGCTGCTTCCACGTCTCTTGAGGTTGGATCAGCTGTTTCAGAGCATTAGGACCAGAAACATGAGCAGCTGAGAGATAAATTGCCACTACTCCATCCAGAGTTTCTGTGTAACCCAAAATAACTCATCAGGACACTCAAGTCATGCACAAGACGTATCGCTTTCACGTTGTAGTTAGTTAAAGCTTAAAAGCATGCTAGGACTAAAATAACTAAACTACTTACAGGTCTGTTACTGCGGCAGTCGTTCTTCCTGATCGTCATTCTCACGGTCACCTTCTGACACGACTTTCCATCTTCTTTGCCTGTTTAATGATTAAAAAAAGGAAATTTACTGGAATGAAGCTAAAATGAAACAACAAAACCAATGCATGTTGTCTTGATGCAATCCATAAAAAGGAGAGCAGAAGGTGGAGAAAGGAGAGTCTGGACCGGTCTGCATGCAAAATTTGGTTTTAGTCTTTTTACAGTTTGTCATAAAAGATGGAAAGCATAAAGGAAAAAAACATTGCATTGAAGTTGAATATCAACAATGGCACTAACAAGCCTTGTTGTTGTTGTTGTGGTACCTCTTTCACAGTTTGTGTTAACTGTGGGAGTCAATGGGCTAACGGGGAAGGGGAACAGATGGAATCCAGTGCCTGGTGAGATTGGTACATGACGGTGAGCTGCAGCACATTAACAACAAACCCACTTGCATGTCATCAGATGCTTTTTAGTGAGAAAATGTAATTGGTCTTTAAAGTCACTGAAAAGCACACTGACGGGTGCCTTCGATCTATGTAACTGAAACAACTGGGATCCAGATGGGAACTGATCCAGATAAGCTGGTGGACTTGGGCTGAAGGCCCAACATGTTTCAAACATGTTGTGCAGCAGGTGAAGGCGCTCTTCAGTGTCCACTGCAGCCTACAGCTCTACACTAACTACAGAACTGCTGCTGCTACACTCAGATCAGATACTCACACGTCTTGCAGCATCCGTCCATGTAACTTACGACTGTTCCTCCAATCTAAGAGCAAATAAGAGTCAGGAAGTTAAAACAGAAATAACAAAATGCCACCAGACTCTGGTCTGGATAGCTCTCAAGGTAGAAATGTACGTAAATCAGTGGTTTTACTACAGGTATGTGAGATAACGGTGAGGAAATGTAGTTTTATTAATCACTAGACCAGAGGTCGCTGACCTTTTGAATCTGAGTTGAACATTACGAAGGGCTTAAAGTTTTATACACACACGTTTGTCATGAACACAATCCTGACCTTTGAATGAGAATTGATCAACTTATCTAAACTTCATTTTTAGTAAACATGTTTAAAGCTTTTAAAAACATATAGTCATATCAATGCATGTGTGCACTAGACTGCAGAAAATTAGAGCTACATTTTAAATATAGGTACAATTTCTCCCTTCCCGTCTGTATAAAGAGGAAGTAATTTAATCTGAGACATCATGAGTACAATGTTACCAACATCCACCAGGCTCTAGTTTCTAAATAACTCTGCTTTTAATAAAATCCCTTTAAAAGAGCATCAACTTGTCATTAAAGTTTTCGGACATACAGTACTTGATCATTTTGTCATAGGAAAGGCTTTTTGCCATTATTACTACATTGTGGGATCATGTTGTTTATCCTGCTAACCTTCATACATTCTGTTTCGTTGAAGAGCGGACAAATGTAGGAGTAGGTGATGAGCGTTGGTCCAAACTGAGTGTCGCTGCAGTCAAATCTCATGCAGTTAGACACCCAGGATTTCCCAGGCTGAAGACATCAACAGTAGGAAAATAACCACATTTTAATAAATTCTGGTACAATTCTAGTAAAACAGAGCATGAACATTATGTTATAGAATATAAGCTTGTGTATTTTATATATATATTTACAATTATTGAAGCACGCCAAAGGCTTTTTGTACCTTATATAGAGCAGTGGTCCCATTTTCATGTTGATAGAAGCAGGAGATGTTTTTACAGACACCACAGCAAGTCGACCGGTCTTTGGGAGGAATGTAAATCTGATTCTGGAAGAAACAAACAGTTTAACTCTACAAAAACAGCAACAGAATTATTGCTGCTACTGTCAACAAGATTTTCTCCCCATTGTGGTGTTCCCCAGGGTTGAGTTTTCAGCCCCATATGTTCTTTTTTCCTTATCTTCTCTGGGCAGCTTATTCAGAATCATTGAGTACTATATCATCTTATGCAGATGACACCCAACTGTGCATGATGATTAAATCGGATCCCAGCAGCATTGTTTCTCTCACTGCTTGTGTTTCAGAATTCAAAATCTTAAGAATTTTTTCCCTAAATTTGCCAAAAATTCAGCGTCAGTTCTTTTTGGTTTCCAAAGCTCATTAGTCTCGTTGTTGTGAACCATGGTTTCATAAAATAGTATCAGTAATTTTGCTGGAATCATGAGGTAATGTTTAAAGTTATCTTTAATATGGTGTTCAACTCATCATCTGCAGGATACCATTTTCACTTATAATCTCTGAATGGTCTGAAATATAAACTCACTGAAATAGAATTTTCCCTTCATCTTTTAGAATATTTTCAAAATAAAAATAATTTTATAAAAGCTATAATGTTACAATAGTTTATGGAAATCAAGCTAGTGTTGTCCCAAATGTAATAATATAGTATGTTGGGGTCTGAATAAAACAAGCTAAATACAAAAACCTACGTGGTCATTGGTTAAATCTACTGGGATGATGAACGGGCACGGTCAAGAGGACATGACTCAAAACTCTACTAGGACAAATATTTATGTGGTTTTGTTGACAAAATAATCACAATTTATTCTGTATAAAAAGTATAAAGATGTTCTCATGGTAACCTTATATCAGTCTCAGCCCTCATCATCTGTGATGTCTCTAATTTTACTGTAATTAAATTTACAGTAAAAAAATCAACCTCAGTTATCATTCATCAGTCAAATGTATTTTTGTTCTAAGGAAGTAGAGATTTTCTAAGGCCACTGGCCTGTTTGTGTTTTGACTAATCAGGTGGGTGTGTGTGTGTGTGTGTGTGTGTGCGTGCGTGCGTGCGTGCATGCGTGTGTGTGTGTTCCTATTCATTCCCTGTACTGAGATTTGATGCTCATTCATGAATGTTAACTATAACAATGACACAATAAAGTATTTAAAGTTTGATTGAAGCAGAGTTTTTTTTCTAAACAGCCACAAGTCTCTGGTTGGTGTGAGTCTTACTGGTTGGCATTGGGCAGAGCAGTTGACAGAGGAGGTGCGCAACAGGTAGAATCCACTTGCTGGGTCGAACGCACTGCTGCACTCCCAGCTGTAACACAAGCCATCGTTTCCGTGTTCCACCAGAATCTGACCCGGCCGTAAAACTCCACGCTCTCCAAACACACACACAGCCTCGCGTACTGGATACAGACACAGCAGAGGCAGAGATCACAGGTTTGGATTTAATTTGTAGCTTTAAATCTCTCAAAACACTGATCAAATGTAATTGGGAAAGTTCGTTATTTAGAACAAATCAAACTAAAAAGTAAACATCCAAAGATGGCAAAAAAATACCATTTTTACATCAGACAGAAGCTAAAACTTGTACTGCAGCCAGCCACTAGGGGGCAACTCAGTTCCTTTTAGCTTTGAACGTCCTGAAACACTTTTGTATTTAGTTTTTCATGTATGTCAGTGATTGATTTAAAGAGCAAGTAACCCCCTACCAGAGTATTACTCCGCTCCCACTTCCTGTTTGAAAAATGCAACAAATGCTGTTGCGTAGCAGACCGAGAGGGTGGAGCCGCTAACAAATACACACACTCACGACATTGTGACATCATAATGTACCATCTAACATCATAGCATACCTCTTAGCCAATAGCGACGGCAGATTTAAATTCAAATGCAGTGCTGAGTTTTTACCTGGCGACGGTGCAACACTGACAACATCTTTACATATTTATTGTTTACTGAGTAAGACCAGAGACTGTAGGAAGTTTATTCTGTTTAACGTGTGGAACAGAACTCACCACACTTGTATCTTTTACAGGCACACTGGTTCTGTGGGTCGGACAGAAAGGCCCGGTCCAGCTGTGCAGCTTCTCCCTATAGACATGATCAAAATGTCAAAAACATAATACATATCTATAAGTACAGTATATTTCATCATTATTATTATTTTGTGCCGCTGGTTCATTAGATACACTGTGTCGATGCAGGGTGTATGGACCCGACACATTGTGGGTTGTAGAGTTATTGTTTTATTGGTTTTATTTTAGAGTTAGTAAATGTTTTCATGAGGGTTTTCTTGACATGTGTCAAACATCCACGCAGTCATTTTCAAATATAAGACACATAATTATACAGTATTGCACCCAGGCTAATGATACTGATGAGAACGTACCAGGCCACATTTAGGGGAGGCGATTTTCTCACAGGAGCACTCTAAAAGAAAAACAGAAAGACACTCACTATCTCTATCACTAAATATTTAGCTTGGATCTTAAATCTAAAAGGCAGCAGGATGTGTGCTGTAGCTTACCACATGTCTGGTTGGGACAGCATCGGTTTGGACTGGACACAGATACCACAGACATGCCAACAGGACAGCTTAGCTGTGGACACCTGTAGGGATCACAGTCTGCACACACAGACACAACAATACCAAGAAACATCTGAAACAGAGTTAAACTGAAGCAACAAGATACTTACATAAGTTTGCCTTGGTTAAACACTTATGAGACTGTCTATCTGACGATGTGGACATCTACGGACAATGCCGCTTAAATGAATGCTAAAGCTAAAATGCTGAGACGAAAATTTTGGTATGTGCACTACACCAGTAAAGATGAGACTTTTCTGTCAAAATAGGACCAACATTTTTAGATTTTTAAAATAGAAATAGAGTACAAAACAGCCATCTTGAATGAGTTTGAGGGGGGATAAGCAGTGTATATGCTTACCACACTGGTAGGCAGGGCAGCATTGATCGGTGGCATTGCCATCAACAGTCATGACTTCACCGTCCTGACAGGAGGGAGGTCTCTCCAAACAAGGGGAACACACTAGAGGAGACACACAGAGTTAAACAACACTGTTAACTCCAACAGTGGCTCACTGATAGAGAACGTGTTATGAAACAAGTTGAACTGACTGCAGATATGGGCCAAGCAGCAGCTGCCATCAGCTCTGGTGGTGATCAGAGTCTGGTCTTCTCTGCAGGTGAGGATGATGCTTGACTCACAAAGGTCAGGATCACACTCTGCAATGTTAAAATCACATAAAACATGCTTACAAGCTTTCTTGTCACTCGTTAGCAGAGAGGGTTGACTCGGTGTCTGAATTAACAGGAACAAATTAAACTACATTGTCTGCAGGTGAGAAAAACACCTACATATGGTAGTTACATAGCTATATAATAAATAACAAGAAAACTCCTGCGTTAACAAAGGAGTCTTTTTTCTGTGCACTTTAGAAACTTACCACACACGTGTTGTGGACAGCAAGAGTCCGGTTTGTAGTACGACACCAGCTTCTCTCCATATTTACACTCCGGAGGGAGCTGACCACAAAGACTCTGGTTGCACACTGCACAGTCACACATTAGATCATTTTCTAGTTTTTTTTTCTAATATGCAGTGCGGTTGGCTGTTGTGTAAAATGCTTTAGAACTGAGCAGCAACAGCTGTTCTCTAGCCTCACCACAGACTTTATACGGGCAGCAGCTGGTGTCGTCTGCCATGCTAATGATCATCTCGCCTGCTCTATGGCACACAGGCGCCGGCGTGCTGGAACAGTTGTACTCCACTGGAACAATAGTGTCGTTGTCGCAGCGGTACATGCAGCAGCCATCTTTAGAGGCCTTCCAGACCTCACCGTGTGCACGAGGAATGCCAGAACTGTCAGTGCAGGCTGCAGAAACACAAGAGCTGCACCTCAGAGAGAAATGTCTGAATTTTTACTGAATTCACTAACAGAGATTGAAACCAAAACCCAACTCGGGCTAAAAGGCATAAATTATCAGTGACTTTTGACTTGATGTATTTGTAAAAAATCAGTAATCATACATACATACAAATGGCTACAAAGCTTTTAATAATCAATCTTAATGATCAATCACACATCAGTAATCTTATTGTTCCATATGTTGCTAACAGAGCACTTTGCTCTAAGATCGTAGGTTTACTAAAATAGGATGGGAGGCAGATATTTTAGCTATCAGGCTCCTCTCTTGTGGAACCAGCTCTCAGCTTTAGTCTGTGAGGCAGATACAGTGGTATGAAAAACTATTTGCCCCCTTCCTGATTTCTTATTCTTTTGCATGTTTGTCACTCAAAATGTTTCTGATCATCAAACACATTTAACCGTTAGTCAAAGATAACACAAGTAAACACAAAATGCAGTTTTGAAATGACGGTTTTATTATTTAGGGAGAGAACAAAATCCAAACCTACATTGCCCTGTGTGAAAAAGTAATTGCCCCCTGAACCTAATAACTGGTTGGGCCTCCCTTAGCAGCAATAACTGCAATCAAGTGTTTGCGATAACTTGCTACGAGTCTTTTACAGCGCTCTGGAGGAATTTTGGCCCACTCATCTTTGCAGAATTGTTGTAATTCAGCTTTATTTGAGGGTTTTCTAGCATAAACCGTCCTTTTAAGGTCATGCCATAGCATCCCAATAGGATTCAGGTCAGGACTTTGACTAGGCCACTCCAAAGTCTTCATTTTGTTGTTCTTCAGCCATGCAGAGGTGGATTTGCTGGTGTGTTTTGGGTCATTGTCCTGCTGCAGCACCCAAGATCGCTTCAGCTTTAGTTGATGAACAGATGGCTGGACATTCTCCTTCAGGATGTTTTGGTAGACAGTAGAATTCATGGTTCCATTTATCACAGCAGGCCTTCCAGTTCCTGAAGCAGCAAAACAACCCCAGACCATCACACTACCGCCACCATATTTACTGTTGGTATGATGTTCTTTGTCTGAAATGCTGTGTTACTTCTACGCCAGATGTAACGGGACATTTGCCTTCTAAAAAGTTCAACTCGTCTCATCAGTCCACAAGGTATTTTCCCACAAGTCTTGGCAATCATTGAGATGTTTCTTAGCAAAATTGAGACGAGCTCTAATGTTCTTTTTGCTTAACAGTGGTTTGCGTCTTGGAAATCTGCCATGCAGGTCATCTTTGCCCAGTTTCTTTCTTATGGCGGAGTCGTGAACACTGACCTTAACTGTGGCAAGTGAGGCCTGCAGTTCTTTAGAAGTTGTCCTGGGGTCTTTTGTGACCTCTCGGATGAGTTGTCTCTGCGCTCTTGGGGAAATTTTGGTCAGCCGCCCACTCCTGGGAAGGTTCACCACTGTTCCATGTTGCTGCCATTTGTGGATAATGGCTCTCACTGTGGTTCGCTGGAGTCCCAAAGCTTTAGAAATGGCTTTATAACCTTTACCAGACTGATAGAGCTCAATTACTTTTGTTCTCATTTGTTCTTGAATTTCTTTGGATCTTGGCATGATGTCTAGCTTTTGAGGTGCTTTTGGTCTACTTCTCTGTGTCAGGCAGCTCATATTTAAGTGATTTCTTGATTGAAACATGTGTGACAGTAATCAGGCTTGGGGGTGGCTACAGAAATTGAACTCAGGTGTGAAACACCACAGTTGGGTTATTTTTTAACAAGGGGGGCAATTACTTTTTCACACAGGGCAATGTAGGTTTGGATTTTATTCTCTCCCTAAATAATAAAAACCATCATTTCAAAACTGCATTTTGTGTTTACTTGTGTTATCTTTGACTAATGGTTACATGTGTTTGATGACCAGAAACTTTTTGAGTGACAAACATGCAAAAGAATAAGAAATCAGGAAGGGGGCAGATAGTTTTTCACACCACTGTACCTTGTCTACTTTTAAGACCAGGCTTAAAACTTTTTTTATTTGATAGGGCCTACGATTAAATTATGATGTTAGCCCAGGTTCAGACAAGTGGGGGAGTAGAGAGAAGTGGAGTACACAGTGGGGAATACAATCGGTAAAGATGGTTCTCCCTTGCCCTGCCTCCCACATGCTTCCATCTAAAAGGCTAAGTTATCCTGAGTTATCTCTAGTTATGCTGCTATAGGCTTAGATTTCTGGAGGACATACTGCACTGACCGCTTTCCACACTCTGTTTGAAAAAAACTGAGATAAAAGTTTTTTTTTTTTCTTTTCCATTAATTTGGAAGGCCAAAGATTTTCTAAAACAAAAATAAGAAACCTTCCTAAATTTTCATTAATTTGAGGGCACTAAATGACGCTCTTACCACATTTCTCAGGGGAGATGCAGAGTGCAGAATATGGCCGGTGGAGAAGAGTTCCCTCTGGGCACCCACATCCCTCAGTTAGACCTGAACACTGGTCTGGATCTGCGTCAAAGTCGTAATTTGGACACGACTGAGACGTACATGCTGGTAGACAGGCCTGGTATTGCAGAGCATCAGGACAAATGAAGGCTGCAGGAAAAAAAATGTCTCATTTTTTATTCTATTGGACCACATTATTCATTTCTAGAAATGACAATACACACTATGAATACTTGAATCTAGAGTTATTTATACTTTTCACATAATTATTTTGTTAAAACAAGTCTTACGGCAATAATCTGAGCTCCTCCACTCAATGCAGATATTGAATTTATGGCATGAAGCAACGTATGCAGCCAGAGCGACGCACTGATTCTTGACATACTCTGAGTCTTTAATCCAAACTTCACAAAATATGCTTGGAGGCACCTGAAAACAAAGGAAAACCAATTTTAAAAACCTTCAGCTCAAACATTTTCTTTTTGCCCTTTGAGACAACAGCTTTTTTCAAAGGTTAATAATGGAACACAAACACCAAAGCGACATCTAGTGTGTGGAGGCTGTAGTTGCAAATATCAAACAAGGTTTCCAGTCATCGGGATACCAGGTTTTCCTGCAGATAAGAGATGATTTTTATTTGGACCCATCTGTTGTAGGCTTCACCTAACTCTAAACAACATCTTCTGGGTCTCAGAACCAAGCTGTAACTAAACCAGTTCAGAGTGGGCTCAACATACAAAGGCATGACAGGGGGTGAAGGTCTGGTTCTCCAGCATGACCAGGCAGCGGGAGCAGTCGCTAGTGGAGCAGTTGTGATCACGGCGGCGGCTGTAGCTGATGTAGCTGGTGGTGTTGGGAACTTGCCAGCTGTCAATGAACAAGGCTGGATCCTCGCTTACGCCCAGCGTGGTGCCGTTGGGCAGAGTCAGGTCGTTGGCCGGGTTTCCATCACAGAAACCTGAGAGGGTTGCAAGAGAAAGGCCAAAAAGGTCAGAATGTGACAAATGTTGCAAATATATTAAGTCTCCTCACATCCAGTTTGAGTTTTCTCTCAGCACCATGTCTCTAAAACATACCTTATTGCAGATTGGAGCTGTTCTGCCTAAAACATTTAATTTAGAATTGTCTAAATTCAAAACTGTCTAGCTTCTCTGGTTTTTCAAGATATTTACATGTAAAAGAATTACAGTAAAAAAAATAGCAGCATATGCTTTTAAAATAATCCAGTTTATACAGTTGATATTTATTCATATATTTGCAAAAACATTGTAGTTCTACTAGAAAGTAGCTTTTTGACATTGCAGCAGATGGTATAGGTCTAGAAACACGTAGAAACATAAATCTTTTTAATTTCTGTGCTTTTCTGAAGATTGTGAAGATTACCCAGACTGCAGCATGTTGACTTGTCCAAAATCTATTTTGCACAACAAATGTTTAAATGAGCTAGCGTAGAGGTTGCCTGTTTGAATGTTATCACCCCATTCAACGGTTGTTCAGGGAAAGAAATAAAATTTTGGGGAAAAAACTCTGGGGTGAACAAACGAGTCATGGAGGAGGCTTGTTATCTGCGATTAGATGGGGGATAACAACCTTCTGGTCTCCTAGGAGCTAGAGGTGGGACTGGCTCTCTGGGACTGTTCAATTAGGATGATAACAGTTGGTAAGGACCATTAAATGGGGTGATAACATTCGAAGCGGGTGGCCTACTTCCCTTTCATTTAATCAGATTATAAAACTCAGAGTGCTTGATTGTAAGGCTGCAGTAGGCCTTTAATGATGAACCAAAACAATCAAATTATTTGCTTTGCTCTTACCACAGAGGCCCATGGTTGGCAGCTTCTTGCTCGAGATGTCAGTGTCGATCACCATCATGCCGGTGCTGTGGTACCACTGTACCTTGAGGCCCTCTGGGCTGCGGATCAGATACATGTTGCCTGTGTCGTAGATCTCAAATCCAAACTTTTTGAAGCGAGGCTTAGCGTAACGGGAGTTGACATAGAGCTGACAGAAAACACAAAGTAGATCTCATTCAATAAAATTATTTAGTTTAATAAATTCTAGTTTGACCAATAACACGATTCCGTCTCTTACTCTCCTCTGCAGCCTGTTGATGACGACGTGGTTGGATTTATGCGTGATGTTGAGCGAAACCAGACACAGATTGGTGAAATTCCAGGTGAGCTTTGAAAAGTTCATCAAAACAAAACAAAACCCCTCGTAAGTCAGGCAGTCGTAGGACTATCAGAAAACCTGGTTCCTGGGATTATGTGTCTCACCGGGGACTCCGAGTCAGCAGGACATTCCTGAATCAGAACACTGAGCGTCTCATTGAGCAGCTGGGACACAATATACGAAGCAGCCTTGTAGATAGCAAAGCTGTTCCCATCAAACGTGATCACATTCAGATCAGGATACATCGAGCATCGACCTGCAACACACAGCAGGAATACAAGAGGAAAAGAATAATCCGACACTTGCATGAATATGAGGAAGACGTTTAAGGGCATTTATTTTTAAGATATATGCTTTTTTATTTTCTCACATGGACAATCCCATTTAGGGCAGCACTTGTCTCCATTGACCAGAACAGCAAAGCCAAGCAGGCCACAGTTCGGAGGTTTGGCTGTGAAGGGGCAGCTCTGGGATTTGTTGAACAGGACAAGCTGGTTGTTGACGCAGATGTACTTTGTGCATTCATCAACTATCTCTGCATATGGAGGCTGAATAAAATATAAAAATACATTTTAAACAAAGGAAATACAAAGCAGAGTGATCAGTAGCTATTGTCATATTTAGTTGAAGCAGTGACCTTCAGTCAGGGACGCCAGTGCTTCCCTTTTCATCATGACAGTAAAATACTAACAACGATATATCGTAAAACCAGTTCTTCCTCTTGACTGGTTTATACATTTGTTTTTTGTGTGATTTTATTGTCAAATTAGCTGAAATTAATGCATTTCCTGTTCAAACACATGGTTGAAGTGCAAGAGAAGGAAGTGATGAGCTCTACCTTCACTCTGACAGCGCTGCACTACACACACCGACTGATACCAGATGTTGGTGCATGCCCACTACTGTTTTTCTGTAAATCTCCAACATACATGTTTTATTACACGTGTGCTACACATGAGTATCTCAGGGTCTTGTTCACGAGTGAAGGACAACTGGAGCGTGAGATAGATAGTCAAATTGGTGCTGCGTCTGCAGTGATGCGGGCGTTGTACTGGTCTGTTGTGGTAAAAAGAGAGCTGAGCCAGAAGGCAAAGCTCTCGATTTACCGGTCGATCTACGTTTCTACCCTCACCTATGGGCACAAGCTTTGGGTAGTGACTGAGAGAACGAGATCACGGATACAAGCAGCCAAAATGAGTTTTCTCCGCAGGGTGGCTGGGCTCTCCCTTAGAGATAGGGTGAGAAGCTTGGTTATCAGGGAGGGGCTTGAAGTAGACCCGCTGCTCCTCCACATTGAGAGGAGCCAGTTGAGGTGGCTCGGGCTTCTGGTTAGGATGCCTCCCTGGTGAGGTTTTCTGGGCACATCCAACCGGGAGGAGGCCTAAAGAGAGATCCAGAACATGTAGGAGATTATGTCTCTCATCTGGCCAGGGATCGCCTTGGGATTCCCCCGGAAGAGCTAGCCCAAGTGGCTGGGGAGAGGGGAGTCTGGGCCTCTCGACTTAGACTACTGCCTCCACAACCCGACTCCAGATAAGCTGGATGGATGGGTTTAAATCTTGCCCACTTCTGGTTAAACCACACCCAATTAAGATTTGGACTCCGCCCACTCTAAGTACAGCTACAGATCATTTAGATGGTTGTATAGATACAAACAGTGGTGTACTCGCTCATCCCTAGTATCGGTGGTGTCCAGCGTTCCCCTGTGTTCTGGAGGTATGTCTTAGGGGGTTGAAACTTTTTATTGTGTTTTTTCAAAATGTGGCTTGCTTGAACAGCTTCTGTCAGGAACACCTCTCCTATCTTTAAAGAACATTTCATTTAAAATATTTAAGCCTGGGACCCACCGGAGGCGGAGGCGGACGTGCCGCATTGCTCACGCACCACGCCGTCATTTTAAGTAGAAGCCATTATAGTTCATGGGAGTGGGCATATGGGCAGCGCCACGCTGAGGCGCTGAAGATAGGCACCAGTTCTATCTCAAGCGCTACAACATTATGGAGTACTTTACAACAGATAGGGAACGGGTTTACTGCACAAACCCAGCCGCATGTTTGATAACTTTAAAGTACTATTGATCTTAAAATATTCAAATAAATAGCAAACTTACCTATTTTTAATGAATTTGAGTCTTACAAAACATGACGGGAAGTCTGATCGTGTTTAAACAATAGAGTCACTTCCCGCTTTCTGTTCTCAAGTGCCGCATGATGTTATGACTATCGCACAACTTTCCAATGAGCGCTCAGCGGCGCGTCCTGTGCAACCACTTGACTTCTCAAAATCTCTGCCTCCGGTGTGCCCCGGGCTTCAACCACACCTTAATTCTCTGAGCTGTTTGCATGATTCTACCTCTTAATGTCTAAACTGTTTGCTGTGAAGTATTGATGGAACAAACCTGGTATAAAGTTGAAAAGCAAAAATTGAAAAGATGAGTGAACCTACCGTGCACATCCTCATAGGTTTTACTGTCAAAGATGTTGATGGCTCTGCAGAAGGGCTTGTTGTCTCCACCGCTGTGCGGAGGGAAGTTAAAGCTGAAGAAGGTGTTTCACCTAGACTTGTGTGGCTCATCTGGGTCGTGGTGGACGATGAAGGAGAAGTTTTAGTGAGAGCTGGAGTTCCAGGTTGCTGGGTGGAAGTGATCACATCATGTGGCCTCGGTGTAGGTGGTTGCGAATCAACCTCTTTGGGTGATAACGTCCTTCCAGGTGTGGTTGAGTCTCTGGTGGGAATCGCTTTAGATGATGGAGACAAAAATGGTGCTACTAAGGTTATTGGGTGGGGTCTTGATGCAGATGAGTCAACATGTTTGATTGTACTTATTGGTGTTGCAGTAGTTGTAGATGTCACCCCTGACGTGGCAGTTGGCCTCATTGCCAAGGTGACCCTAGACGTAAATGGTCTGGTTGTTGAGGTGACTCTAGGGGTAACTCTTGTTACAGGAACTCTGGGTGTTGTTCTGGGGGAGAACGTCTGTGTGACGGTGGTAGATGTTGTGGAGGGTGTAGCTCTTGACGTGGACACATACTGGGTTGTGGGTTTTTCCAGGACCATGGTTACATTTGAAGCTATTGCAGATATTGTTGTGTGGACCGGAGAGACAGATGAAGATGAGGTGGTTGTAGATTTGGTTGATAGCTGCAGTCTGTCTGTAACTGGACTAAGGCTGGTGCTGGTAACAGCCGTTGATGTGGTTCCTCTTTGGGCTGTGGTGAGGGATGTCTCAGGAGTTCTAGGCACAGGTTGCGATGGGGGTGTGACCAGCTTCCTTGTTGTGGTGGCTCCAATGTCTGGAGAGGGAATTTCTGATGTTGTAGGAGTGGTGGTGGCTGCTTCAGTAGATGATGATGAAGATGTGAGAAATGGTTTTGATGTGAGTGAAATATGGGGGAAAACAGTAGTTCTATCGATCACCTCTAATGTTGGCTCTGAAGTAGGTCTGTAGATTGGAGTGAAGGAGGTCTCCCAATGCGGTGGACGCCATGGCTCAGACGTCTGCTCAGTAAAGACAGGATGAGTTGGTGATGGTGGTACAGCAGAAGTTTTGGTGGAAGGTTTTGTGGTAAACAGAAGACCGGAGGACACAGTGGTTGTTTCTGGAACCACCAGTGGGCCTGAAGTTGCCTTTCTGGTGGTGGTTCTTGCTGTTACTGGGACAGCTGCGGACCAAGAAGTGCTTCCAGTATAGGCTGTTGATGTAGAAGTGGTAGACGTAGTGGTGTGTGTGATCTTTGAAACTGGTGGAAGTGTAGGTGTGGGGGATTCATGTATGGCCACTTTCCTTGTGGTTGTTTGCTGTTCTGCAGCAGTTGAGGATGACGCAGATGGTGAGGTTGTGGTGGGTGTAGCATAGATGGTGGGTGGTGGTGACACAGACACTGTAGAAGTTGTTTGGTCAGTAGGAATGGTGTAAATTCCCCTTTCTGTGGTTGCAGGATGGGATGTTGTCGTTGTTGTTACTCTGCTGGAGGTAGAAGGTGAAACTGTTGTGAATGATTTGATAGTTTTTGCTGAAGTTACTCTTGGGGAAGATACAGTTCCTGTTTCTACAGGAGGTGAAGATGGACCAGGAGGAGCTGTTGTGGAGCTCGTGCTTGGTAAACCAGGCAGCATAACAGCTGCTGTTGTTGTCTCCTCTGCAGTAGGGGTTTCAGTAATAGTGCCAGTGTCCACAGTAGTAGTTGAACTGGGAACAGTCATTCTGTCTGTCACTACCGAAATCTCCGGAAGCGGAGCGGGAACCGGGCTGGAAGATGTGGAACGTGTTGTTGTTTCTGTCGTGTCTTTCTCTGGACGTTCAGCAGTAGAAGAACTGAAAGAGGTTGGCCCCTCACCAGAAGTTGTAGTTTGTGCTGCAGTGGTGGTTACAGACGTGGTGGTGAAGAATGAGTGAGGGGAATGGGTCGACTTGGTGGAGGATGTTGTGATGGGGGTGCTGCTTGTCCTGGCTGTGGTGGTGTTATATGGGCTGATAGTGCTCCTCATTAACGTTGTGGGAGGAGCTTCTGTCACTGTGATGGTAGGCAATGGCTCCACCACCTCTGGCCTCACAGCAGGAGGTAATGTTGTGAAAGATGGAGTTACAGGTGGAGTGATGGTGTCATGTGGCTTAGAGGAGGCGGTGTAGGGGCTCACAGGAGGAATGCTGGTGACTTGTACTCTTGTATGTGGAGAGACAGGGGTAGTGGTGGAAACCATCAGGAGGGTGCTGAAGGCAGCAGTGCTTGTGGATGATAAAGGAGTGACATGTGCAGTAGATGGAGCCACAGGTGGCACAACAGCTGGAACCATAATACCTGTTGGGGAAACAGACACAATAAATTCATGTAGTTGCAGTTCATAATCACAGCAAATGCTACTTACAGTCTTCCACGTAGACACAGCGTCTGGTGATCTCATCCAGGACCATGTGGGCGGGGCAGAAAGGGAGGCAGCCTTCCACTCTGTACAGAAGACACGTCAGCTTTGAAACTACAAACCAACCAAGTTTTCAGATTGGAAATAAACACGAAACATCTGAAAAATCTGCAGTAATCACACAATTGTGTACATTTGTGATTTATTATTAGTAAATTTGTATGAAACCAGAAGTTTGATAACCAAATTCACGTTAAATCAAAAGGTAAAGTAGAGAATAAAAAGGCATCAAACAGCAGAACTCCGACTAGCTTCACTCCAGCACTGGTGAACTGTAGTTGACACAAGAGGAAAAGGTCAAAGGCCTCACCGTGGTATAGTGACACAGGCCTCAGTTGATGGGTCACTGCAGGTCTTGAAGCAGGGGCTGACACAGGAGTCATACCTCCACTGGCATCGAGGAGCCGGCAGGGTGTCTTGACTGGGGCCTGATCAAAAAACACAAGATGACTTTCATCCCTCAGAATCAAATGAAAACATTGTTTCTACCTTTGTTTTAACAAAAAGAGAAGAATATCATTGTTTTATGTTTACATGGAGAAGTCAGTCTAGGACAGGAATATTCAGTCCTGGAGGGCCTGTTTTAGTGGTTTCTCTGCTCCAACACATTTGATTCAGTGGTTGAATCACCTGTGCAGCAGCCGTTCTGCAGAAGCCTGTTAATTACCTGCTGATTGAAATCAGGTGTGTTGAAGCAGAGTTAGGAGTAAAACGTGCTGGATACCAGCCCTCCAGGCTCGGAACTGAATACCCCTGGTCTAGAAAAACTAAAAGTAAAATCTGGCACCTTTCTTATAAAACGCTGTAGGGTGTGAATACGTTTGCAGATGTAAAATGTACTCTGTCCTGCCCTGAGTGAAACACGTGTGCTGCTGACCTGTCAGCCTGAACAGTGCTGCCTTCCGGAAACTGTAGGTGTGTCTGAACTTCAGCAGGTGGAGGCGGGGCAGCGTGGCGTGCAGGAAGAAGCCGGGTTTAGCATGGGACTCAAGCGAGTCATAGCCGGGTATCCAGGTGTTCCTATGGAGGACAAAGGTGGCTCCATCCCAGAATGCCTCACTCTCCTCCCACTTGGCCAGCGTCACCTGGCCGCTGGAGCTTGCGTGCAGGAAGTAGTTTGGTCTATCAGCTGCCTCAAAGGAAACCCTTGATGCATCTTTGCAGAGAAAAAAGCGATCAATCAGTGGGACTAGAAGCAGAGAATACAGATAGGCTGATGTCTGAAAACCAATTGACTATTTATTTATTTATTTATTTATTATTTATTTATTATTTATTTATTTATTTATTTATTAACTTTATAATAAATTGAACATGAACTCTTAAAATATTCTCCTTACTTTGTATTTCTCAACAGAATCAGGTCAGTGACATGTTGGCTAATGTGATTAGCTCAAAATCATGTTTACGTCTAGCAATTGTGTTCAGAATGGCAAACAGCCACGGCTCATATAAAACTTTCTTGCCCATGTGATTCACATTTCACAATAATCTGAACAAGTGTGATTGCTCCCCACCCAGGCCACTTTCACATGATGTGTGTAGCCTAAGTCAAGCCCATCTACTTCCGCGTGTCCCCTACTGTCAAAAGGGTCCATAGAGGTATGCAGGTTGTTTTCTGATCCTGTTGGATATGTGCCATTGATTTTACATTTGATGTCTGCAAATTTTAAAAACACATTTTGGTGACTAGAACATGTTTATTTCCACAGGCAGCAAAAGTTATTTTAGGTTTTGTGTTGAAAGACATAGGGGACTGTGCTCATCTCAAGAAATTCATGTCATCAAACTGGACACAGACAACGGAAGAAAGAAAATGACTGAGTTTAGCGAGCTTCGAATCCTTCTTCCGGGAGGACAGAAGGAGTATTAAACGATTAAACGTGGAGAAAACCACCATAAGGTGTACCATGTGGTAAGTAGCAGCTACGCTGGGGGAGATGAGACTCTATGATGTCATATATGCAACGTCTAATTTTTAGTCCTTTAATTAAAGAGATTTACAAGATAATAAATCTAAAATGTCAACATAATTATTTATCATTTAAACTGAAGTATAACATATGTGTGATTCAGAGCGAAAGGCTAAGTGGATTAGAAAATAACTGTTAAAGCCCCGTTCAAGGGACCCAAGGAAGAGGAGAAGCCTTGGCTCCCCATATCTATCATTTATCCAAATTGACCTCCGTCTGAACAGTCATGCACCACGTCATCCTTCTTTTTGTCCTTGATGTTCACATTTCCGTCTACAATATGAATACATAAATAAATTGGATCAGTATAGCATTAGTGCCTGCTGTGTGAACATGGACTTTGAAAGTCCCCTAGCCTTCCATCTTCCCCTAGATTAATAAGTATCGGTGGTTTAACCACCACCCCCACAGAAAGACCACCCCTCCAGGACAGTAAAATACCAGCTGTTGCCAGCTGTTTAACTCAAACAGACAAAACCAGTCTTTTTCTGAGCTCCAGAGCACCATCCTCAGCTGCTGTCATCTCTGTTTGAAAAGGCCATCATCCTGCAGTTGTCTGCCAAATAAGGAAAAACTACACTGATTTTAAAACCACAAACACGTGTTGAGTAAAAACACCTTCAGCTAGCACTAGCACTTGTCCCACATCCCATAAAGATCTTGCAATAGAGGAAGAAATCCAGCTTAAGTGAGAAGAGACTCTAAAGAGCTTTTTTCTGAATTGGAACGCAAGCGTAACTTCGCAAAACCAGTAACTGACTGACATTACAAAAGCTGTGATTTAGACGTGTTTTTCCTCCTCAACACCTGCCGATTTCTTCCATCAACTATTTATATGCCTAGCAACATTATCCGTACATTTTTTCTAAATAAACTGCCCATTTGTTCCTGCAGGAACAGGTGGGCAGTTTAGAGAAGCCGCAATGGCTTCATTGTCCTGTTTGGCTTCATTATCTGCACCTGTGATGGTGTGTGTGGTGTAAACATGTCTGGGGAGGCTTGCGGAGGATCCAACAGTTGCTGCAGTGAATAACTGTGAATAATAGCCCTACAATACTGCAGAGATGATTCTTCTTTATATAAAAAGTCCACTGTGCAGGCCCTGAAGACCAAATCAACATAAGATTGTTAAAACCAGACACTGAGTTAGTTTTCCAGCAGCAGATCACTACAGCCGTCGTAGGTGAAGTATGCAGTTTTACCTATATATGTATATATATATATATATGTATATATATATATATATATATATATATATATATATATATATATATATATATATATATATATATTCCTTCCAGATCTGGGGCTTGCTCTCATTTGTTCTCAAAGAAAATCTAAACACACAAAGATTTCAAACCACACAGATGGTACGAAACTCTTCTGGTGTGTTCAGCTGCAGAAACCTGTTCCAGGTCTGGCTTGCTGTCAGGCTGCTGCTCAAGTTGCTTTATGAGTGTTTGCCAATGTGATCCCTGAACCTTTTTTTCAATGAGTCCATCTCTTTTATCAGTGTTGTCACAGGGGAGCTCGAATCCCTACAAAACACAGCAGACAATAACAACACAGCAGAAAATGAGACAACACCCTGGCTGGTTTTCAGTCACGGCAGACATCTTCCTGCCAGAGAATCAGATTCCCAGTTTAGCTGGAAATTACGAGATGGAGGAAGAACAGCATGAAAACAAAATTAATCTGCAGAATGATGACGTAACATGTTCAGAAAACCCCTTGCATAAAGCGAGTAAGTTGGAGCAACCTCAGTAAAATACCCTGGCACAACCAGTACATTCACTATGGACTTCAAAAAATAACAGTGATCACATTTAGACATCAAAGTCATAAATGTCATGATATTTGCATTTAAATGTAACTAATTAGTTTTTATGTTTTATATCTGAAGCCTGTTGTTTTTCAATTTTGTTGTCGTTTTTGAGCCACACTGTAAAAATCTAAACTACCGACTTAAGTCTGTTAATCAAAAGTCTCAGAAGCACAACTGGGATCAAAAGGTTTGGCTCAAATTAAAGGAAAAATCCTGACCTGACTGCTGGGGGTAAAAAAGAATAAAACAACAAAATAAAAGAAAGTAAACCCTACTTTAAAAACAATAATGACTGTTAGTTTGGGAATTAAAAGACACATGATCACAGTGTAGATTCATATTAATATCCCGGTTTTTGGAATAGCCTCTCTGTTGTAACAGAAACTATTTTTTCTGTTTCACTTTTGCTCATTTTAAATTATCTGAATTTGATGCTTATCCACCTAAACAGTGCCTTCTTACAGAATAGACTAATAAAACACAAACAATACAAAAGAAAAATATTCAAAATGTCAACAACATAAACAAATTTAGGGAGAAAAAGTGTTTAAGTTCCACATGACATAGTGATTTGTCAAAGGTGTTTAATAATCTGATCAAAACAAAACAAATCATCATAAAGTCATAAAACCATAATGATCTTAAAACAGAAATAAGTCAAAATTATAAAAACAGTCGTTAAAATACAAAACAAATTGCTAATAGTCCAATAGTGCTGTAGACATGTGTAGTCATTAAATTGGCCTTTATAATTTCAGCCTAAACCCTCAGTGTTGCGCCCTCTTCAGGTTAAACTCTGCACAACACTGAGTTTGAATCAGCCATTGCTGTTAGCAAAGAGACACCCAGTGCTGATGCTACCGTATTATGTGTCTGCACTCCACTGCTCTACTGCTGAGTCTCCGCCACACCTCCAGCTGACTCGGCCATGTCGATGCGGAACGATACCACTAAGAACTGCCTTCCTCTTTAACAAAAATTGCCAACCTCCCTTTCTTCTGGTGAACGAGGTGGACAGGAATCCTACAGTGTGTGTGTGTGTGTGTGTGTGTGTGTGTGTGTGTGTGTGTGTGTGTGTGTGTGTGTGTGTGTGTGTGTGTGCATATGTGCGTGTGTGTGTGTGTGTGTGTGTGTGTGTGTGTGTGTGTGTGTGTGTGTGTGTGTGTGTGTGTGTGTGAGTGTGTGTGTGTGTGTGAGTGTGCATGCGTGCGTATGTCTGTGCATATGTGTGTGTGTGTGTGTGTGTGTGTGTGTGTGTGTGTGTGTGTGTGCGCGCGTGTGCGTGTGCGTGCGTGTGCGTGCGTGTGCGTGTGCGTGTGTGTGTGTGTGTGTTTGCTAATAGCTCATTTATCCAACAGAGAAAATCTGACAGTGTGTGGCTGGGTGGGGGGGTGCTGTCAGTCACTGCCTCAGTTCCACCCTATTGGTCCGCCAGGTATTTAACCAGATGAGTCGATTGAAAACTCATTCTCATTTACGACGATCTGGCCAAGAGGCAGCAGCAACAGACACAAGTGGGGGTAGGGGTAGGTAGGTGGAGGGGGACTTGCTCTTTAACAGACTTTTTATTTTGTGCTTTGACAAGCGTCACTTTAACATGAATGTGGGACCAACAATAGCTCACTTCCTCTCAGGTTGATACTTATTTTCTTCTGGTTCCAGTCAATCAAAAACCGGAAAGACTTACTGAAAATCTTTTCTCTAAAGACAGACTTTCATTGGGTTTTATTATTATTTATTATTTATTTAACTTATGTTTTTCAGGAGGATAAACTGCTTGAGATGTAACATCTTGTTTTCGAGCAGGTCCTCCTACAACACAACCAATAACAAATAAGGTGGCAGAGTTAGAAAGTTATAACAGACTTAAAAAATTAAGAAAAGAAGGAAAGTAAATAAATAATAGTAAAATTAACGATATGTATAAATATATATATACACACGTAAATATAAACACATAAGCATGGAAACATAGATACCCACAAGTGTACATACGTACATACCTATATACAAAATTAAATTAAATAAAACTGCTGTGAGGCACTCAAAGAGAAATAAGGGCAAGAAATTACATTGTAACCTAAAGTGAAGTAATATCCCAACTGAAAACAAAGTTTGGCAACGAAATACAGCATGTTAGCCAGTGAATGCACAAAATCATCATAGTAAAGATTAAACAAAGCAACTACAGCTTGGCTTTACATAAGCATAAACAGTGCAGGAAAATTGACGAATTGTTGAGATGGATCTTAATTCAGTGGGTAATTTATTCCAGTCCAGAAAAAGGCGAGTCTACCCACCTCCTTTTTAAAACGAGGAACAACAAATGATGGAAGAGTAGTTAAGTGGGTGGAATACAAGGAATCAATGGGAACCAAAAGAGTTTTTAGATAAAGTGGAAAATCAATATAAATGCACTTTAAGATAAATATCAACCAATGAAATTGTCGTCTAGCTTTTAAAGGAAGCCAACCAAGAAGATCATACATATAACAATGAGTGTTAAAAGAACACCGCAAAATGAAACGACACAAACTGTTGTAGACGACATCAAGAGACTGTTGAGTTTTGGTACAAAATATCAGAATAATCAATGATCGGCAACAGAAGCTGAGTGACAATGCGCTTTCGTACAATAGGTTCAAAGCAATTTATTGAGTTGTAAAGGATACGTAAACACCGTGTGACCTTAAGACATGTTGTGTGAATGTGAAATTTAAAAGACAGCTCTGGCTCCAGCCAAACTCCTAAATATTTCATTTTAACAGAAGGATGAACCGGCGAGGAATCCAAAAAATAAAGATTAAGAGTCCTGTCACTGTCAGATAGAGTACTACATCTATGAAACAGCATGGAGTAAGTCTTAGATTTATTTAAAAGAAGTTTGTTCTGAGCTAGCCAAAGCTGCACTTCGTCAAAATTAGGCTGAATAGTTTCTTGTAATTCGGATTTACTCGACTTAGAACAGTATAAGACCGTGTCATCTGCATATGTTTTGTTCTTGGGGTTAAACATGATGGGTCCTATGTTAGTCTGTAACCATAACATCCCCACCCACCTTTTTCCCCTCACTCCCCTTTCCTCACAGAGGGAGAGAGAGCAACAGAGCTTGATTCTGTGTGTATATAGTAACAGATCAACTCACCGTGGGGTCGAGCTCTGCTGAGCCCTGGAGTCATCATGAACTGTGAGAAGATGCCTCCACTAGCAGCACTGGTGTTGACCTGCTGCAGGAACACAAAGCCGCTGGACCTGCTGGCTGCCAGCAGGGTCGTCGGCTCCCTGAAGGTGAAGAGCCTGAACGGACCTTTACCCAGAACTGCAGACAGGAGGCTGTGTTAGTGCTGCACAGGCGTTACAGCAAACCACCGAATGAGTGTGAAAAGGGCATTAAATCAAAGGGAGCATGGTTTTACCTTTGTTGTAGAATTCACAATCATACGCTGCAGAGAGAAGAGATGAATCAGTAAGAAAACGGGAAATAAAACACAAACTGATTCTCCTTTGTGACAACCTGTTTAGAAGCTGTAACTAAAGGTTTTACCAGCATATTAAGGTCTTGACCTCCTTTTGTCTGAGTCTTGTGCCTGACCCGTTAAAAGACCATTCAAAGGTACAATAACATCTGTCACAATGGAATAAAAGTTAAAAGGACTAAAAGTTGGATTAGGACTCCAGCACAGTGTTGCTGTACAGTGCTGTACGACCAGAGAAGAAAAGCAGGCAGAAATGAGAAAGTTAAAAACAGAGACAGGTTTTTACTTACGGCAGAGAGACGGGGAGCGCCAGTCGACAGGGATGCCCTCGTGGCAGCAGCGCTGGGCGTACGCCGCCACGCTGGTGCAAAAACACTCACAGTCACCTCCACGGCTGCAGGCGCACGTGTCTGCAAGGCAGTTCATGTAGAACCAGGTAACATCCACCTGAACACAAACACATCTTTATTTGTATCCGTTTATGAAGAACAAAATCCAGAGTTTGGATCAAATTCAACTCAAAATTTACAGTTGTATCAAATCTGTTTGCTAAAATAGCTTCAGGTCTCTGATTACAAAATGTTTGGTGTCAAGAGGAGGTTGTTGTGTCTGTTTCTCACCACTGGGTGGCAGGTCTGGAAGACCTCGCTGAGCAGGACGGCACACTGACGCTTAGCAAAGGGCTCTCTGAGAGGACTGAGGCTGCAGGGGGGTCTGATGTCAGGGCTGTTCACACACTGAACACACACGCACACACACACACGCACACGCACACACACGCACACACACACGCACACACACACGCACACACACACACACACACACACACACACACACACACACACACACAGGAGGAGATAATCCAGAGTTATTCAGAAAAAAAGATACAATTAAATATTAGAAGGAACTGATTAATGTGATGAAAATGTCAGCAATTAAATAACCTGCAGAATCAATTAAACCGTTCTACGTTTAGAAGAGCAAAGTGCATTTTGAAAGTCACCTCTGTTGCTGTCCAGCTGTTTCCAAACTCCTGAGGCGTTGGCGAGTCAATGTTTTCAGGTGTCCGCATCTCATTCACTGTCTTCATGTCAAAGTTCCCACACAGTCCGCTCAGCTTCCCCTGAACACATCAGCAACAGGCCTGTTAATCTGGTGGTTCCTCATATCTTTAGTCAAATTCTCAAAAACATGATTCCACATGGGTTATTGTTTCTATCATTTCAATATCTCACCCCTCGGCTCACCCCCAGAGGCCTCACTGTGCACTTTGTTGATGCTCGCCAGCAGCAGACAAAAGGCAGACAATAATACTTTGTATGTGGACATGCTGCATTCTTAAATATAAAAATGTTCAGCGTTTACCAGTATTGATCTGTTTTTGCTCATCTGTGATGAGGCTTTAGCGAAACACTTCCTCCTGAACATTCCACTGGTTTGAAAAAGTGTCTCAGAAACAGCTTCCTACCTGCCAGCGAGGTCCAACCTGGATGTGGACGGTGGTTTTTCGATCCCACAGGACCGTAACATCTTCTTCTAGGAAGTGAATCACTGTGAAAAACCCTGCCGGCCAGATGAGCATCTGCTGCTTCCTGTCAATCACACTGGATGGATTCTACACAGGACAAAGACAATTTATAACAGGAAGTAAAACAAAAAACGCCTCAAAAACCAAAAACTCTATCTTACTGGCTTCCCAGAGTCGCCGTCAAACAAAATGAAGGATCTTCCAATGTTGATCAGAAGTGATTTTCTGCAAATGACCCCAGTGTCGAAGCAGTCGATGTTCTCAGCTGTGACACTGAGCATCACGTCAGCGCTGCTCTGATGACGAGAGAAGACATCAGTAGATAAAGATGTATGACCGGGTGAGACACAACTCACCAGTCTAAGGTTAACAAATCCACGAGTCTGCACTGTTCAACAGCAGCCTTTTCATACAGAAAATCAGAATCAGGTGCATCTTTCTACACCTAAAATGTTAAAGTGACTAAATCGATGTGTACTGTCAACCACTGAACGGTGGAAAGTATACAACAATATGTTTGTTTCTGTGTGTTTTCATATCATGAAAGTCCTGATTGAATAAATATTAAAAACTTGTTAACCTTTGGGGCAATTCCAAATGGCCATTAGCCACCACAACTTGACCCTAAACATAAAAGCAGCTATGACATAGTCAGTTTTACAGATAATTACGGTGTTACATTAGCACAGAGCCAACCACTGCACATACTCTGGCTGCTACACATTTCCTTTAGCTGACGGAGTCAACCTTGTCCGTTAGCAAAAAAAGCTCTGGCACTCCTGTTTCAGGAAATAGTTGTGACCCAAAGGAGAGGTGAGATGGCTGGGTTTGGAGTCTTATTTCCTGATATTTGGACATCTCTCCCCTGATTGGCTAACAGCAACACAACTCTGCCTCCGACTCAGTTTACTTTGGAACGTTGATGTTTAACCTCCACAAACAACACAAGCCTGGAGGAGTTCTGCTGTGTGGTGGAGTTGCTAATGCTAATGGTTAGCTTCTACTAGTCAAGATGTTTTCTGCTGTTTTCTGGACGCTAAGTCAACAACAGCCTTCCCCGTCACAAGTCAAGATGGTTGAGTCCATGAGTGTTTAGTGACAGTGTGACATAGATCCGTCAGGCTTTTCTAATCTGAGCGTTTCTGTGTCTGTTTCCTATCAGAAGCTTCTGTAGGAAATAGAAAAATACAATTGAAGACTATTCTCAAGTTGAGTGACCAATCATATTTGAAAAATAACAAGACAGTGAACATGCTCTATAATACTTTAAGTACCTTTACAAGATACACTTTGCAGGCGCCAACATAGTCAAACAGCAACCCATCAAATGTCCTGTAGTGACGGTCTCCGTAAGCCGTGCACATGGATGGACACGGAGGGAACACACACTGGAACGCCCCATGCTGACAAACACTACAAAGACAGCAAAGTTTCAGTGATTGAGACACAACTTGTTTCCATTTAGTTCAAATACACATTTGTTCAAATGTAATGGTCCTCCTTTGTGGCCAGCCTTGGTTTATTGAGAGCGGAAAAGTGCCGGTGAATTGTCAGAGTCTGAATCAGCGCTCATTTCATCATTAGGCTGTCATCTACACCATCTTCACTGACCATGGTTCGAAGGAGAAATGAAAGGAGAAGAGTGACTGAGATCATTGGGGTTTTTTTTCTTTGTCATCAGTGATGAGGAGATTGCAGCAGATGGAATCAGAGAGATGCACAACGGCATGCTCTGTTTTCTGGGACTCTTTTTCTCAGCCCTGCGATAACAGAAAATTACAGATATCAGGTGGCAACTTTTGCCACTCAGGACAGCCTCAGGATCGCTGCTTTCAGGCTGACTTTGAAAAATGAATAATGCCGTTAGGGATTTGGTTATTATTCTAACAAAAACCTTTCAGAGAATATTGGTGAGGGTTAAACAAATTTGTAAAGAGAAGATGAAAAGGAAGAAAGCAGAAAAAGATCTTTTTTACAGATGTAAGATTCGCATTTGACAGTGTGAACACACCACTGGTAGCAGAGGGAAGAGACTCTGTCGCCAGGAAAATATTCTTTCCCTTTCCACAAACAGGGACAAGCTGCAGGTTCAAAGCACTCATCTCCATGTTTCAGCAACCTGGAGGGAGAAAGAGAAGAGATCATGCATTCATATTTACTGAAAATGTCACAAAACACCTGCCAGACAACAAATCCCTCCACAGTGAAAAATATGCTAAACAATAAATAATTACATCCCTAACCCTATTCAGTAGCAATGTTGACCTTTTACTAATAAAAAATTATGGATTATAAAATTGAACACTAAATTAACAAAAACTTAAAAGGAGTAATAAAAACATGACATAAAAACATTGAAAGATGTTTTTATCTCCGGTTTTCTCTTTAAAACCAACTTGAGCCTGAAGCTTATCCATCATCTAACGTTAGAGATAGTTACGTCCAGAACGAACCTGGAGGACTTTAGCGTGAATACGTTTAAAGAGACACACTGGAGGAAGAACTTGGAGGGTATCACAGAAGTCATCAGAAAAATAATGGTTTATAGCTCTCCACAAATTCAGTATTCTGTTTGTTTTGTTTTGTTTTTGTTTTGTTTGTTTTTTGCTGATAAGCAATCAGGCTAGTCACAAATTACAGTACACCTCTGAACTCTTATTTGTGGAGATCTTTGATCAAATCCAAATGTGAATCAACTTAAATACAAAAGGAAGTAGAAGAGGAAAATATTTTTTATAGCACCTCTCAAGGTAAATATCCCTAGCACCCTGCAGGAGTCACCTCCAGCCACAGACACTTCTGGTCTCAACAAGCAGACCCAAAGGAGAGAAGAAATTTTCTGCTGCTTCAAAGATGTGGTTCACTCATTAAATTAATACATTTGGCTTCTAGTAAGAATGAATGCCTTGAAAGGTGTACTCTAGGGAGGGGGTTGTCTATCATATGTGCTTGTTTCAGGAAGTATAAGTCAGCTGAAGGACAAATTAGCTTCAGATGGAAGGATTTGGAGTCTTATGTCCTTACATTTGGACATCTCGCCTCTGATTAGATAACAGCAGAGCGACTCTACCACTAACTCTGTTTGCTCTGTGACGTGGATGTTCTATCTCCATAAATAACACAAGCCTGGTGGAGTTCTGCTGTGTGGAGAAGTTACTGATGCTAATGGTTAGCTTCTACTAGTCGAGACATTCTCTGCTGTTTTCTGGATGCTACAACAGCAACAGCCTTTTTCTGCCGTGAGTCAAGACAGATGAGTCCACATTCTGAAAACCTCCATTTTTATAAAACCATGGATCTGGTGGGCTGGTCTCTGAATGAAGTTGATAAAATCTTTTCTAAACTAAGAATGGAGCGGGGGGCATGTCCAGACAGAATGCATCTAGTTGGATACATTATGGATTTCTGGAAGAAGTGGAAAATAATTTCTTTCTCTGCTTTCTGATGACAGCAGAAGACTTATGGACTTATAGATTTATGATTACTGGGTTTCGGCTGTTTGGTGTGAGCATTAATCTGGTATTTTGGAAAATTATGGGGCTGTTGGGAGTGATTGGAAGGGTTCCTAAGCTCAAAGAAGGTATCATGCTGTGCTTTAAATGCTAAGACTCAGATGTTGCTCAAGATGAATCGCAAGCTGGAAGCTCTGAGCAGTAATCTGACTGCGATTTCACAACTCGAACATAGGATGGGCTTCATGATGGAGAACATTATTGCATGGTATGGCGGGAATGAAACCCCATTATTTTGCTGTTTGGATGAGTTTGAGACCAGCAAAGACAGAAGGCAGAGACAAAAACGTATCTCTGAACTGTTTCAAAACAAACATCATTACCTGAATCTGCTGCCCTCGTAGCCTTGGAGGCTGAAGAATACAAAACCCCCAGAATGAATGCTGACAGATGCTTTAAACCCTCTCTATGACTAAAGGTAAATGGTCTGTATTTGAATAATGTTTGCTTAGGGTTCTACAACCCCCCAAGGCACTTCACAACACAATCAGTCATCCACACATGAACACACTGATGAACTACGATGTAACCACAGCTGCCCTCGGGTGCACTGACAAATTAGAATAAACTGTTCTGATACATATATAGATATAGATGTAGATATATATTTAATAAAAAGTCTTTTTCAGACTGCAAGTTTATCTATAATTTTTCACAGTGAAATATAAAAAAGTTCCTTCCGCACCACTTGAAGCACATTTAAGACTATAAACATTGAATAAGCATGACCTGTGAGCTCATGTGGATCTTTAACACAGATAAGTCCCTTTGCCAGCAGAATAACAGATGCAGAGCCAAAGAAGGTCTTTACCAAGAGTAGAAAGAGAAACGGAAGAGTTTCAGGGGTGGGCTACTGTGGATGAAAAACCGTAACACTTATTAGCTGCGTGAGAAAACCAGACAATAAGAATTCTCAGAGACAGAGAGAGGCACCGCCTTTGTCTGGATCGCTTCATTTGCTTTCCACTCTGCAGGACGAAGCTGATAAGTATCTTGTAATATGCAGAGCTGAGCTACATCAGCTGGCGAGGTGGCAGACAATGAAGTGACATGTTGAATGGTCCGGCCACAAACCTCAGGTTCATCTGAGTAGAGTTACACCACAGATAAAACGGCGTTAACAGCTTCCTTTATCTGCACGCCAAGCGGCCGTATCGATTACTCTGATCAAAGATCCTCTAATCATTTTCTCTCCTGACATATATAACGTAGAACGAACTAATCCTCGTAAACAAAGTCATCATTTCAACTTTCATACCATAGAAAATTGTAAACGTTATAGAGGAAGAGGCTGTTCATTGAGATCTGTGCAGCAGCCAGTATATTTGTGAACTATTGCACCAGCTAAACTGAATATAGCTTTGCTCAAACATCTTCAAAGTTGTCCAGAACTGGCAAAAACTTCTTTATATTGTGTTTGAAAATTGTAAAATGTTACTAAATTCCAGTAAACCACCTGTTTCGGATCTGAAAATGAAACTGGGTTAATTGACACAGAGTCTACATTTAAATGAAAGACAAAGTCCTTCATTGTGAATGAAAAACATAATGGAGACTTCTGTCAGCACCTCCGCTGAATGTTTCCCATTACAGATTTCTGAGTGCAGCTGAAGATGAATACCTCGCAGTGATTTTGCTTTCCATTCTTTTTCTTCTCACTTCTTAAAGTGAGAACATCCATTTTAAAAGTGTCACCGAGTTGTAGAGGTTAGCTCCGATGCTCACGGCTGTGGAGATAATCTGACCCTTGATGTCAACAAAATCAAACTGCTGATTGGACCCCAGTGCATTGTATCCAGCATAATATCCATCGTCTCCCAGGAAGAAATGTGACTGTAAAAAAGATCCTGAATGATCACTTAAACATTTTGTGACAGAAAGAGCATCTCCACGTATACAGTGAGAAGTAAACTCAAGTGATTGAGACTGAACAGCTGTGTAGCTGTAAGAAAACCGCTGATCAGTGAGGGTAACTGGAAATAAGGCTTCAGCTTTCTAGGGAACATAAAGATTGGGCTTTGGAGCAATGAGAAGATCATATGGTCTGATGAGTCCAGATAGACTATGTTCCAGAGTAATGGTGCATTAGGGGAAGAAGCCTGTGGGGGCAGTGTTATGATCTGGGGTTGCTGCAGTTGGTCAGGTCTAGGTTCAGCAACAGGATGTGCTCCAAGAATGAGGTCAGCTGAATACCTGAATATCCTGAATGGCCAGGTTATTCCATCTTCCCTGACGGCACGGGCATATTCCAAAATGACAACGCCAGGATTCATTAGGCTCAAATAGTGACAGATGTTCAGGGAGCATGAGACATCATTTTCACACATGGATCGGCCACCACAGACTCCAGACCTTGACTCCATCATTTGGATGTGCTGGAGAAGGCTTTGTGCAGCAGTCAGAATCTACCATCATCAATGCAAGATCTTGGTGAAACATTAATGCAACACTGGATGGAAACAAAACTGGTGACATTTGCAGAAGCTTACAGAAACAATGTTGCAGTTAATGTGTCAAAATCAAAGCTAAAGGCGGTCTAACGGAATATTAGGGTGTGTGTGTTTTTTATTTATGGCGACTTTACGTTGGGCTGGGCAGTGTATAATATTAAGTGTATAATATTAAGTGCACAGTTACAAAATCCATAACATTTATTTAATGTCAGTCAACAAAAAAAATAGAAAAGTGAATTGACCAACACGTGTATTTATAAATTGAGTCAATTCAGTTTATTTATAAAACGCCAAATCACAACAAGAGTCGTCTCAAGGCACTTCACAAGGTAAAACATTCCAATACAGGTCAGCTCATTAAGCTACTTGGTTATGTTTCTGTAGCGGAATATAGTTGGTATATTCTTACACTTTTATTAACTACATTATACTATGCTACATTTCCTATATAAGGAACTCAGTCGAGTCACTGACTTGTGGCAACTACTTTACAGCAATCCCCAGTCAACACAGCTTACATTTAATAATCTGTGGAAAGGTACGTGTCTAAGGGTGTGTTAGGATTACCTTTTGGAAAATAGAAGAAGTAAAACGAATATCTGCAGGAAGAGGAGGTTTCACATTAAAAGCATATTTCCCTACTTCTCCAATAACTCTAGGAACTGTAAAAAAGAGAAAATCATTGTGACAACGGCTGTAAGCTGGACTATAAGGTACTAAATATTGTTTTGAGTGTAAGGGATAATCATAGTGAATGCATTTAAAGACTGATTGTAAGCTATGGTGTGACATCTAGCTGAAAGCGTGAACCAGGACAGCTGTTCACATGTCACAGAGGTGTGTCCTGTGGGGGCAGGGAACAATGAACGGATACATCCTGTTATCGCTGACTGCTCTGCGTGATGATCACCTCGCCTGCATCAGTCTTCTAACATCCAACAGAAGACTCCTCATAATGCCCGTCAGAACAACAGAAAAGGTTTAATTTTTTGTTTAAATATAAAATGATGAATGTAAATATTTCACACTACATCCCACGGTTTTAGCGGTGAGAGTGTGTTCCTGTGTTGGACTAACAGCTACCCACTGCGCAAAGACCTAGCTTGGACGTCCTACAGAAGTGCTCTGGACCGATGGACTCAATATAGACATGA